GTGGCCAAAGAAGAGATGAAAGGATATTTCTGATAAATTAACAGTAATTATTGAAAACCAATGAAAGACTAGATAAGATGGTGAAATTAAAAATGAGTGTACTCATGACCTCTTGTCCCTGGCATTCTGTCATTGGGGTAGTACAAATCAGAAATTCTGAAGCATCTCAGTAAATGAGAGCAGCATACATTGACCCATTTGATTTATAGTGATTCTCTCCTGTTTGTGATTTCAATGAAAAACCATTTAAATATAGCTTTTGCATGGAGCACTGGGTGTGGTGCAAAAACAATGAATACTGTTACGCTGAAAATAAATTTAAATGAATTAATTAATTAATTAATTAAAATAAAAATAAATATAGCTTTTGACTGCACTGGTATTTTCCATGTCATAATCAGAGCAGAAACTAAAAGTTACAAAACCCCAAAGAAGGACCTACATTAACTCCTCATGGGATATGTCCATTTTTAGCTATGATTATTGCAGTTAATTTTCCATTCCAATGGACTAGTGGAAGTTTGGTATATTGATATTGGTGTTTGGACTAGTTCTGCAGAGGGTGTTTTGAGTTAAGTGTTATAGTTCCTCCTCCCCTACGATGCAAAAAGCTAAAGATACTTAAATTTTCAGGTGCTGCTTAACTAGAACTGTTCTAATTAGGCATCATACTGCCTCCTAAGGAGTTGGTGGTGATTATAAACCCATGGGGTTATTTTCTTAAGAAGATAAAGGAACCCAAGATAATTGGAGTGGGGATCATTTCCTGAGTATGGCTGCATCTTTGTCTGCTTCACAGTCCCCAGTATAATCCCTTAAATTGATCAAAGAATTCTACTTCCCTGCTGCCCCCAGCCCCATGGACTTCCAGCTTCTTCCATTATTGCTTTCCTGCTTCCTCTTTTACATTTCACTCACTCCAGAAATGCTCTGGGTACCAATAAAAAGAATACACAGTATAGTAGTAAAGAAAACTGCAAATAGTCCAGTTTAAAAAGACAATCTCTCATCCTAAAAAGAAAACAACTTTGATCCCACATCTCCCTCCACAGCTACCTTATTTCTCTGCTCCCCTTTTCAGCAAAATGCTTTCAATACTTGTTTTATTCAGTGTCTCTATTTCCTTTCTTCTCATTCTTTCTTGAACCACCACATTCAGCCTTCAATCTCTACCACAGCACCAAACGGGTCTTGTGAAGGTCATTGGTGTCATCCACATCACCCAGACCAATGGTCAAGTCCTCATTGCCCACTGCCTGTCAGCAGCACTTACATAGCTGATCACTCTTATTTCATATACTGTTTTCATCGGGTCTTGGGACGGAATTATCTCTCATCATTCTCCTCTACCTGAATAGCTGTTCTCTTCTGCCTTCCTGGTTCCTCCTTTTCTTTCTGATCCTTTATTAGTGAAGAGTTCCAGGACCCAGTTCTCACACTAGTTCAATCCATAATTGCTCCCCAGTTCATCCCATCCAGCTATTCAAAAGATTATGTTCTACATGGTGTTATGGAACACACTCCAAGCTAAAAGATGGCAAGCTGGATGCATGCAGGAATTTCGAGGGACTGGCAACACCAGGATATAAAACTTAACTCCTATTCTGAAAGGCTGGGGCATGAAATAAACCAGAAAGTCACATTAAAGGACTGACCATGTAGCCCCAACCAGTAATGTTTTTGCTAATTTAACAGGAGACCATTAAAAAGAGGACTCAGACATTCATCCCAACCTCCAGAAATGTGTAGTCAGCTGGGGGGTAGAGTGGAGGGGAGGGAGAGGAATGAAAAATAAATAGGTACAAAATAAGGAAGAAGATGGTGTCACCAGAGAAATAAGAACTAGGATGTATGGGACCTCAGAAAAAGAGCAGCTTTTAAAAGCTTGATGAAGCTGAATTATTTGATTTTTTTTTTCAACTTCTTGTTTTTAAAATAGCATTTCCTAGTTGTTTCTATTATCAAACTAAAACTTCTAAAGTTTTCTGTCTCTTACCCAGGCTACTCTCTATATTCTCAATCTGAGAAGATTGAAGAGTAGAAGAATCTGATTCTTCCAATCAGAGTGGAAAAGCTTTTTTTGTTTAGAACTAGTTTTTCTGGGGTGCCTGGGTAGCTCAGCTAGTTAAGCATCTGACTCTTGATCTCAGCTCAGGTTTTATCTGGAGTTCCAGCCCTGCATTGGGCTCCACATTGGGCTCCACGCTGAGCATAGAGCCTACTTTTAAAACAAAACAAAACTACTCTTCCAACAAATCTCATGGACCCAAGAAAAACATAACTTAGGATTAATGTTTGTAGGGAAAAAAAGACTCTATTTCATGTAATTAAGGAGAAGGGGGTCAAAATAGAGAAATACACATGTTGGCCACAGGGAGAAATATCGAGAGTTTGTCTAAGCTAATAAATGGCTCAGGTGCAATCCAGGTCTCTGATTCCAAAGCCCATACACTTTCAATGTTACAGCCTGTCTCAGATATAAATACAAGTTTAAAGTGACTAGAAAAGAAGGGAAAATATCCAGGAGAGAAGGAAACATTTAATTTACAAGAAAGAATGTACTGTTGGTGGAGCAAAAACCATAGAAGAAGTAGGGAAACATGAATTTCAAGAAGGTACATATACAGAAATGCTATAAAAGCATAATGAAAACAGAGAGGCAGAATGATTCTTATTTCACTGCAGAAAGATAAAGACTGTTTTAAAAACAATTGCCCCATTTTTTGTCTTTAGTGAAATCATTTTCTTTTACTTTCTATATCTAAAGAATAAATGGTAACCATCCCCCAGTCTTCTTGATTTTTCCCAGTGGGCAGAAGAAATTAAATCCAGAGCTAGATAGCTCTCAGCCTGGCTGGAGAATTTTATTCCTACCCGCCTGGCTTCCAGTCCCCAGTCTACCCAAGGACTCTCATCCACTCCATTCTCCATTTCATACATGCCTCACCTGCTCCTGCCCTCATTAGAGAATGTCTGTTAAGCCTAATCCACATCAATCTATGTCCCTTCTTATAACTGCCAAAATGCCCGTTGAGTTGTCTTTGAAGTTATCCTGGACCTAATCCCACAGAGACAAATCAGAGGATTTGATCAATGTTCTGACAAACAGCCATTGGCTGTGAATATTCCTATGTGGATTTTGATCATGTTGTTTTCATGAGCTTACAGTAGTCCCCGCTTACCTGCAGAAGATGCATTCCAAGACTGAATACCTGAAATCACAGATAGTACTGAACCCTGTATGTACTATGTCTTTTCCCATATTTACAAACCTATGACAAAGCTTATCAGTTAGGTACAACAAAAAGTTTAACAACAATAACTAATAAAAGATAGAACAATTATAACAATATACTCTAGGGGTGCCTGGATGGCTCAGTCAGTTAAGCATCTGCCTTCCATTCTGGTCATGATCCCAGGAAAGTCTGCTTCTGCCTCTCGTTCTGCCCGTCCCTCCCCCACTCATGCTCTGTCTCTTGCTTTCTCTCTCTCAAATAAATAAATAAATAAAGTCTTTAAAAAACACACAGTATACCATAATAAACATTATGTGAATGGAGTCTCTCAAATTATCTTACTGTACTCACCTTTCTTGTGATGATGTGAGAGGATAAAATGCCTACGTGATGAGGCAAAGTACGGTGAGTGATGCAGGTTTGTGACATAGCAATAGGCCACTATTGACTTTCTGCAGATTCATCAGAGAGAAGATCATCGGCTTGAAGACCAAGGTAACTGAAAGTGCAGAAAGCAAAACTACAGATAAGGGGGACTGTTGTACCTTTTTTTAAAATTCCTTACAACTATGCATTCAATAAATGTCACTATCTCACTGATTGCCCAATTTAATCACAGCTATCCAGGAGACAGATCATAGATGGTAGGTAGATAGAGAGAAATGATAGAGATAGATAGATAGATGATAGATAGATAGATAGATAGATAGATAGATAGATAGATAGATAGATGATAGATAGATGATAGATAGATAGATGATAGATAGGTAGATAGATAGATGATAGATAGAAATTGAAAGAACACAAATGTTAACCAAAACTAAAGACATTTTTTTTTTAATGTGAAATTCTTTGACCTTCGTGATGATGCTGTTTCACTGTCAGTTTACGGTATTACTCTGAGAACAATTTGCCATAAACATCAAAGTAATGTTATATGCTTTTTTTCCTCTCTTTTCTCCAAAGACATGCACAGTGGTATAAGTAAAATGTCAGAAATAATTAGACAAAAGTCACACAATTTCATGATGGAGTTGAGCATTTGCTATGAAACTTTAAAACTGCTTTGAAGTCTGCTTATTATAAACAATATAATTTTTTTCTATAATGTCCCAGAATTTTAAAGAATTTTAAAGTATGATGCAAGGTGAATATATGTTTCCAAATAAAAAAAAACTTTATGTTTAAGTGCATATATACATTAATAAATATAAATAAGAAAGTAATTCAGGTGGCAAGATAGACTTAAAAGTTGATAATGTCTTCATGAGAGTTTGGGAACTTAACTTTTTAAAAAGTATCTTTTTGGTAGCTACATTTGTGGTTAGCACAGCATAAGGATTAGATTTGTGAATCACTATGTTGTATACCTGAAATTATGTATATTGTGTGTCAACTATACATCAATTTTTTTAAAAAGTATCTTTTGAAGAATAATGTAAAGGTAAACTTTATACCCAGAGATAAAAAGAAAATTATATCAAAAATGTGTAAAGATTTATGAGTACTGAAATACAATAACATTTTCCACGGGAAAAAATATGATTTTTTCATTCATTAACCAGTAGCATACTATCTTCCAGGAACCCTCAGAAGAAATGATGTGGTGCTTCCTTTTACCCATACAAAATGGAACATAAGAAACTATATAGCTGAAGAAACTATGGTCTTCTTATAAATGAGAGGCATTGAAGTCTAAGTAATTTCCAGCTGAAGGAAAATAACCAACAGCTTCTCCACAGTGTAGATTGAAACAGGGAAAACATGAATATCACTAACTGTACCGCAGAAGCCAGTGTGGCTGCGAGACCCAAGACCATCACTGAAAAGATGCTCATCTCCATGACTCTGGTGATCATCACCACCCTGACCATGTTACTGAACTTGGCGGTGATCATGGCCATCTGTACCACCAAGAAGCTCCACCAGCCTGCCAACTACCTGATCTGTTCCCTGGCTGTGACGGATCTCCTGGTGGCAGTACTCGTCATGCCACTGAGCATCATGTACATTGTCATGGACAGCTGGAAGCTAGGATACTTCATCTGTGAGGTGTGGCTAAGTGTGGACATGACCTGCTGCACCTGCTCCATCCTCCATCTCTGTGTGATTGCCCTAGACAGGTACTGGGCCATCACCAATGCTATTGAATATGCCAGGAAGAGGACCGCCAAGAGGGCTGTGCTGATGATCCTCACCGTCTGGACCATCTCCATCTTCATCTCCATGCCCCCCCTGTTCTGGAGAAGCCACCGCCAACTCAGCCCACCTCCTAGTGAGTGCACCATCCAGCATGACCATGTCATCTACACCATTTACTCCACGCTTGGAGCATTTTATATCCCCTTGACTTTGATACTTATTCTGTATTACCGGATCTACCATGCAGCCAAGAGCCTTTACCAGAAAAGAGGATCGAGCCGGCACTTAAGCAACAGAAGCACAGATAGCCAAAATTCTTTTGCAAGTTGTAAACTTACACAGACTTTCTGTGTGTCTGATTTCTCCACCTCAGACCCTACCACCGAGTTTGAAAAGATCCACAACTCTATCAGGATCCCTTCCTTCGATAATGATCTAGATCACCCAGGAGAACGTCAGCAGATCTCTAGTACCAGGGAACGCAAGGCAGCACGCATCCTAGGACTGATTTTGGGGGCATTCATTTTGTCGTGGCTTCCATTTTTCATCAAAGAGTTGATTGTGGGTCTGAGTATCTACACAGTGTCCTCTGAAGTGGCTGATTTTTTAACGTGGCTTGGTTATGTTAATTCTCTGATCAACCCTCTGCTCTATACAAGTTTTAATGAAGACTTTAAACTGGCTTTTAAAAAGCTAATTAGGTGCCGAGAACATGCGTAGATTGCATAAAGCCAAAAGGCATTGTTTTTACCAGCCTTGTTTGTGGACAGAGGAAAGGGGTTCAACTTATTAATTCTGGAACATAGTTGGTTCAGAAAAGTTTGTAAGGTAGTGTGGTCTTTTTGTTTGTTTGTTTGTTTGTTTGTTCTGTTTTGTTTGAGGTTTGTTATCTGGTGTGCCGTTTTCTACCTCTGGTTTTATTTGTGGTACATGGTTTCAAATAAACATCCTATAAAGACAGAAATTTCATAGACATAATAATAAGGTGAAATAGTAACTACTTTTTTTTAGCCATTTCAGTTAATCTTGCAATTAAAGAATGCCAAAATAAATCTTCATTTGCAGAATTTCTTATTACTTATAAATCAAATACCTGATAACTTGCCCTCCTGTACCATTAAATCTGAGGTCGTGGCTCCAAATCCATGCAAATTTTAGAGGGAACTGCATGACTACATAAAGCATTAATTTAAAAAAAAAGAGTGGTGTACTGTCATCTGCTTGCAGACCTGAGCTAAAGTCATTTACTGTGACTACATAGCCCACTCCTTTTAGGCACAAATAGTACAGCTGACGTGTCCTTTATAGTTCATGATTAAATATGCTTCCTCATTCTCTAAAAAGAACCTGGAATGAATACTCTGGCACTTTCCTAGGTATTTAACTATGAAAATGAAACAAAAACAAATACAAGATAATCTAAATCTCCTTCAATGTGTTGTTATATTACCTGACAGGAACATTGGACCTCCTCACATTCTGAGAAGAGTCCCACTGAGCCTTGCACACTCTCCCTGACTCTGGCAGGATTTGGGTGGGAGTACAAGCAGCTTCACAGGGTGGAGTAATCAAATGAAGGAATATATTATCTGAAGAACTTTGTTAGAGAATGTTACTCATTATCAGTTGTGCACTTAGAAAAACCATTAAAAGTTGAAAATCTATGTTTAGCGCAAAGGTCACCCATAGACTAAACAAGCATGAAATTGTATCCCCTGGGATCTCAGTGGCTTCCATGCCAGACTGCACCTTGTGGCCAGGAGATGCAGATGCAGAAGGAACCTGACCTGAGGCCACAGCGCCTGCCTGACCTGGGGTGCCTGCTCTAGTCATGTGGAGGAGCTTACCACAGTCAAGAGTGATGACAGACGGAAATGAAAGTTTGCAAATTTGTGTACACTCTCAAGTCAGTGACTATTTTATACCTCTTCTCATCTCAGCCACAGCTTCTCCCCATTTCTTCACTCTCCACAGGTCATCTCTCTTCTTTGTTCACTGAGAAGACATGAATTTGCTCCCTCTCCACCTCCATAGTTTAGCCTAAAATCTACACCCTCTAATCTTTTGTGTAATCTTGCATGTTTCTCCTTACCCCTGACTCCTCTTCCCTACTACCCCCCTCCTCTCTCTCTTTTTTTTTAAGATTTTATTTTTATTTATTTGACAGAGAGAAATCACAAGTAGGCAGAGAGGCAGGCAGAGAGGGGGGGGATGCAGGCTCCCTGCTGAGCAGAGAGCTCAATGTGGGGCTCGATCCCAGGACCCTGAGAGCATGAACTGAGCTGAAGGCAGAGGCTTAACCCACTGAGCCACCCAGGTGCCACCCCCCTTCTTTCTTTACCCTTTCTCTCTTCCTCCCTTCTCCCCTACCTTTCTCCCATCCCCCTCCTCTCTTCTTTAATCTCACTTATCAGTTTGCTCAAGTATCTTGAACACTGGTGTACATTTCTTCTACTCCTACTTCCCACACAAGAGCCTGCTTCGTCTCTCTCCTGGCTCTCCCACCTGAGTTTCTCCACTCATCAATCCTTTGTTCTGCTCACCTCTCACCTTCCATTGACTTTCCTATCCTGTGCCATGTGAGTTTGTCCCTCCTAGTTCTCTTGAAACAGAACTCCCAGAGGTCTTTGGTGAGTTGCCAGTAAGCAAATATAATGGCCTTTCCTCTGTCCTTATCTACTTTCCAATATCTCATCAATTAAAATAGCTAAACCTCCCTTTCTCGTTAAGCCCATGACTTCCAAAATACAAAATACAGTACTCCCTTGCTTCTCCAACTACCTCCTCATTCTTAGTCTCCTTTTCTTCCTCCTGGGGCATTGTCCTCAGCTCTTACTTTCTGTATCTCCAGACTCTGTCCCATCCCATCACATGCCTGTGGCTTTTCAATTTTTGTCTTTAGTTCAGATTTGTCTTTCTCAAATTCCAGACCCATGAATTACCTCCAGTGAACACCTCCCTGTGACTAACCTGTTCATTCCTCAAACACAGTTTTTCCATACTGAACTCATGATCATTTTCCCACACTCACACCTTCTCTTCCTTCCACCTTCCCAGTTTCAGATAACAGGATTACCTTGCTTCTTATCATCCCTATTAGATAAATGTGATCCTCTCTCTTCAAGACTTGTCTCTAACGTTCAGATAGTCTTAAAGTCTTCTCATTTACCTCTACAGAAATATGCCCCCTTCTTCTCCAATAAGTTGGTCCCCTCATCTATTCCAAGTCTTCTTATCTGGTCCACCTTCCTCTGGAGTCCTTCGCCTGCAACTCCGCCCCCACACACCTGCACATCTATCAGATACATCTTCTAGAACAGTGGTTTTCAGAGTGGCAGCTCCCGACCAGGAACATTTGCATCACCTGGGAAGTTGTGAAAAATGCAATGTCCAGGGCCGAAGACATAATGAATCACAAATTTGGAGAGCAAAATTTCTGTTTAATAAACCCTCTAGGAGATTCTGATTTGAGAATCACTATCCTCAAGCATACCACAGGTTTTAATTACAGTATTCATAATCCTCTGCTATTTCTCTATCAGTTTAAAATAAAGATTCCTTAGTATAATATTCAAGGCTCCTTCACTATGTGACTTTAACTACCTTTCCAGAGTTGTGACTCACTACTTTTTCTCACCCACCTCATACCCCAGAAAAGTCTGGTTATTTTCTGGGTTTTCTGAGCTCCCCTAACAGTAGCTCCCACAGCTTCAGAAAACTGACCCCACGGCTTTCCCTTCTTCTTCTACCAGCTCTTCAAGCAATCTTGCAGCACAAATGCAATCTCCTCTGTAAAGTCTTTCCGAGATCCTTCTTCCTTCTCTATCACTATGAAAACCTTCCCAGCTCTATGCTTCCATAGAACCCCATTTCTATCACTATTACTATATGCACCCTATTTTATAGTGCATTGTTTATGTATTTCTGCTGTCTGCCCTAATAGACTGTGAGCTCCTTGAGGGCAGGAACCATGTCTGTTCATCTCTGTATCCCTAGGGACTTCTACAGTGTTTTGCACACAGTAGACCCTCAATAAATGTCTGTTAATGTGAATGGAATTATGTCCCTGGAAAAGAAAATATCAATGTGCCATCTTCTCCCAGTGAGAAAACCAAACTTCTAAAATCCCATGGTACAATACTTTCTTTTTCCCCAAAACTTACTCTGCCACTTCCCAACCTTGTTCAAAAACTGCTAGAAAAATCTTCCACATGGAAAGGAAAAGGATTGTCTGTTGAATATAAATGAATAAACTTTAAGCAATAGGATTCAAGTTAAGCTGCTCTCAAGAAGGGCCCCCCCTAAACACAATAGTTCAACAAGATAGTTTCTTTCTCCCTCACATGAGAGTAAAGAGGCAGGAGGGCAGCCTAGAGTGAGTAGGAGACTCTGCTGCACAACATTATCCAGGACAAGGTGGTTCTTCCTTCCTCCCAGGGCTTGCTCTCATCTGCATGGCCAAAGCTGACTCACCATCACATCCACATTCCAGTCCATAGGAAGTAAGAGACAGAAGTAGAGAACAGTTTCCTTTTAAGTTATGTGGGGAACACATAACTTCTGCTTGTACTCCATTGGCAATAATTTGTCACATGGCCACACCAAGTTGTAAAAGAGAATAGGAGAGTAAATCTCTAGCTGGGCACCTCATGCCTTGCTAAAATTGAGGACATTATAATAAAAGGAAGAACGAGAGAATGAATACACAGGAACAATGAACAGTCTACCTCAAAGGGATATTGGTTTCTGTATGTAGAGCTCTGGTATCTCAAGGCAAGTCAATTGCTACCCAGCTCCTGATGATCTATGCATGAGGATGTGGAGATTTAAATTATGGGGGACTGGACTGAGATTGTGCATATGCTGAAAATACAATATTTATCATGACTGTACCTCTAATATTTAGAAATGATATGAACAACTCACTTGCTTTCTCATCATCTTCCACATATCATCTATTGAAAATTCTTGGTAATTTTAAGCATTTTAAAATGTTAAGAGTCTAAGTAAATAAAAAACAAAAAGCAGATGCACAAGTAATTTTCACTTACTCATTTTTACTAACATATTTACAATTTACTAGATAAGTCCTAATTAAATGCAACTCTCTCATACCTACCTTAGCCCTTAGCAAAGAAGAATCTGTATCTATTTCCTAGTATAAAACAAACCTATCGGGGGGGAAAAATCTGTTGTTTGGTTTACTCATTTAACCAGTAGTGCTAGCTAGTATTGACTGCCATTGCTGCTTTCAATTAAAACTTGAATAATGGTTCCTTCCAATATCATTAGTTTTTCTAGTGTAAATATTAAAGGATTAAAAGTAAACCCCAGGGGTGACATTTCAAACACTCCTGTTAACTAATAAATTAGGACTTCCTGACCTGTGTACTTGGTGAAAGAATTCTTGGATATAAGTCACTCCTTTGGAGACCTGGTAGGTGTTCAGTTATAACCAGTAGCAATAAGAACCCCTATGAGCATTGCCACCATTGTCTGCTTAGAACAGCTGTATAGCCCCCATACTTATGAATTTCAGTTTGCAAACTCTGACACGTATGTACAAGGGAAATTCCAGAGTGAGGTTCAGTAACTGTTCTGGCTACCAGCACAAGACATCCAGCATCATACTGGTCTCAGTCTACCATGTGTTTGCTGTGTTTGCTTAGTTTTTGAGGTCTTCTATGCACAACAACTTCTAACTCCAGATATACAGTGCT